GGGGGGGGGGGGGGGGGGAGGAGGGGGTGTCACTCTCCATGTTACGCTGAAAACTGTATTGCATAAGGGGCAATAAAGATTTGCTCAGCCTCCTGCCTTTGCACGTGCTGTACATCTCTGCTGGTACAGATGTATGCTGCATGTACAAGGGTTTTGCACTGAAGCAACAAAAAAAACCCCCAAAAAAACCGGAGATGATCTTTATCTTTTGCTTTGAATTTCCTCTCCTCGTGATCATTTTGCCCCCAGGGCGATCTGAAGCTTTGACAATGATGATAAAATGTTTGAACCGAGGTCAGGAATGGTTTTTGGTTTTAGCATTTGCCCGGAGGAAAGCAGTTGACAGGAGAGGTCAAATGTTGAGGGGTTTCTTTTTCAATATTATTTATGTCAAGTCGATGGGGGTGCTTTTTGAACTCGGAGCTGGGGAGGAAATTGTCCTCCTATGTGCTATTTGTCTGATATTTGGAAAGGATGAATGTCAAGTGTGATAGTTTTATGTGATGTGCAAAAAAGACTTTGACATGTTATATGTCTTATGTTTGAGGAAGTTGAATGGGGAGTGTATATATACATTATGTTGTTTCATTTGGTATGCAGAAAAGATTGTGATGTGAAGAAGGGTTTTGTTGATATAATGTGGAGCCGACTTGTGTGCCCTAGTCAGTGTCTGTCGATTGCTTATGATGACGTTTGTTTGTTCTTAGTATTCCATCCATTTCACTAGTTTCAGACCATAGATTTTCAGACAGAACCCATGAGACTGAAAGAATTTGAAGTTTTGTTTTGTTTTGTTTGTTTGAGTAAAGAAGAGCACATGGACACGATAAATAATGGTCATCCAGTGCTGGGAAAAAGTGAGACAGACAGACAGATTGAAACAACAAAGAGAAAGTAAAGAAGTATGACCTACCAGTGGTGCCCGCCCACTACCCACGAAGTATTTGAAGAGGAAGGGGGGGGGGGGGAGTGAGCAAGAACCAACAGGTATAAAGGTTCATTCATACCGACCGTCATCAAATTAGGGCCGTACGAGCTATTCGGTCATTGTCATGTGTGCGAGAATAACATTTTTTTTGTATGTCAATCTAATGACTGTTCATTGTAGGTGTGTGTGTGTGTGTGTGTGTGTGTGTGTGTGTGTGTGTGTGTGTGTGTGTGTGTGTGTGTGTGTGGGCGTGGGCGTGTGCGTGTAAATGTATACATACATGAATGCATGTGTGTGTGTGTGTGTGTGTGTGTGTGTGTGTGATTGTGTGTGATTGTGTGTGTGTGTGTGTGTGTGAGAGAGAGAGAGAGAGAGAGAGGACAAATGAGTGTGCATGTAGTATGTATTTACCATACTGCAATAAATTTCTCTTTGTGAAAATCAATAAAATCTTATCATATATCTTTCGTTTGGTCTTTTTATGTGATCATTATATGTCATGGTCCCTGTTCTGGTTGCAGTATTTCCCCTTCTATCATCCTTCTGATTAAATTGTTTGGTGTGATTTTAGTAAAATTGTGTGACTTGTGAGGAAATAGAGCCCTGTGTATTACATTTATAATTTATCACGAATTTGATATTTGGAGGGGAACGATTCTGAGCCTGGATGTGGGTACTTCGCCGGAGCTCTGGTGTGTGGCTTGCTCCTTCTTTCCTATCAAACATTTTATCATCTCTCTAAATCTTCCCCCCTTTTTTATGTTTGTTTCTCTCTTGTAACACCTCTAATCTTCGGGACTTTAAAAATATGACTCTTTCTGCAGCATTTCTACTGCTACTCTTTGGTTTCTTCACACTGCTGTCTTTCAGCCACACCCCTGGTCTTCTGGTAGGGAAGGTCTACACCTAGCCTTCTTGGACAAGGGCGAAAAATCTCGGAGATCACATGTGCAAGTTGCGCACTTTAAAGATCCCTTGGTGGTCTAAAATTGATAAAATAAAGGCTTTGACCACCACCCGGGCAAAATTCTAAATTTCTTATCAACTGAAAATGTTTAATGTGTCCCACGAGCTCATATGATGACGTTATGCAGTTGTGAGCGCCGTAAAACACATACAAAAAAAAGAGACTGACTAGATTTTTTCACACAAGAATCAAAAAGTGGTGTAAGAAACACGATGAGTGATCTTTATGCTCGAGAGCATTTAGTTTTCGACATTATTTTAAAGTGTCAGAAAGGGAGGGAGAGAGAGATACAGAGAGGTGAGAAACACGCTCACATAATCATGGAGGAACCAAAGTTCCATTTTATCCATCCTGCTGAGGACTTCAAGTAAGGACCCCTGCCGTTGGCTTCACCTTTGTTGACTCGTTTCAGTTGAAGTTCAAGAAAACATGGCTGGAACTGGAACGGAAGCTCACGTGCAAACTATACGGATTCACCCCAGCCCGAAGATGAAGAAACCTGTGAAAAGGTTGTGAAACTGACTTG